CCCCCCCCAATTACAGTTACACTTTTCAAGTTGTTCAGGGCAATGCAGACATCTTCTGGAAAATTCAGCGCTACAACCTGATTGTTGAATATCATGGCCGGCCTGCCTTAGCACCACCATTTATCATTATTAACCACATAACTTTGGTTCTCAGAAGAATCTTCAACAAAATGGAACATAAAAAAGAAGATCTGGGTGAGTTGTTAACAAATATCTAGCAACTGGAGACCCTAACACTACCTAGGACATGCTGCATAGGCAAAATGAAAGAGCAATTAAGATTTCCTTAAGATAAGAGTCACTATTTATTTTTAACAAAAAGTGCCAGGAGAGTACAAATGAAAAATTGAGGCTTATAATATATCCTCTACTATAAACAGTTTCCCACAATGCATTTCTTTATGCACCATAGTTATTACAACAAAGGTGTTAACTGGTTAAAGGATTTGATTTCCGAAGAGGTAACAATGGATAGGTTTAGTGAATAGTTATTTAATTCACTCCTGAATTTTAGTAATCATTAAGTATGGACAACCCTAAAAACATATACCAAGTCTAAAAATCTACTAGGATCAGTGGAATTTCCCAGTACAGACATGGACAGATAGTGAGCACACTTAGAGAAATGGTGGTCCCTTAAAAGTCATAATTTAGAATGCAGATGAAGTTCAACTAATTCCAGGAGGTACTGGGGGGCTTTCTCTAGTGATGGCAAACTTGGCCCATCTAGTTTAATAGTGTCTGATAATAAGCCTATTTAGTGCTCATGCGCAGGCTGCTAATGGGCTTTGGAGCAGAACTGTTGTCAGACTGGACCAATTCAGAGCCCTTTGACTAAGCTCTCTTTCAGCCACAATCCTGGCTATCGAAAGCATACTACCGAGGTTTCTTCAAAAAAAGCCAGTAATTTTTCCCCTAAGAAAACAAGTACCTCACAGCTCAGGTTCTAGATTCAGAAGCGTTTGAAGTGTGCAAGCGAGCGTGCCCTTTCACCAGCCTTTAGGAAGATACAAAACTAGTATGTTACATGCAAAATGTGTCTGTGAAATTGAGGTCTGTTGTTGGCTGGGACACTTAACAGCAACAGGCTTTATACTTCAAGGTGGAGGGATTTATTCACAGTTTGTCCTTCCTATTTATAATTGTTCTAATAAAGAAGCTTAGATGATAAAGTGCATCTGAACATAAAACTCTGCTGATCAAATACTGTGGGGATAAAATATGTCAGAAGTCCAGTAAGGTTGTAAATGAGTTTAAATGGAACCACAGAAATTGGTCCATGCTGTTCTTTAGAAAACTCAGGAGTTGTATCCAACTGCAAAAAGGTCTATTGCCTTCCATCACAAGAAAAAAAAAAAAGCAGCAGAAAATACTTATTCTACACTGCATTTTCATAAAATGACACTCCTGCAATGGCAAAGGGCCTGCAATGGCAAGACTTCTTTCTTCTTTAGCATAGCAGCCTTCCACTACTAGTATAAGAGAAAAGGGAGTAAAATATAATTCTTAATTTTTTTTTTCCTACAGAAAGAGATCTTCCAGTTGGCCTGGATCAAAAAATCATAACATGGGAGTTGGTACAAAAAGAAAATTACCTTGTAAACCTTGAACAAGAAAGAAAAGCAAGCAGTGAAGAAAGGCTGAAGGCCACATCTAACAAGTATGTTATTCTGACTCACAATAAGTGCACTTTGCAAGTCTTCAGCTTTAAATGAGATGAACATTCAGATGCTTGTAAAGCTTATATGAAGAGTCCAACTACACTGTAGTTAGGAAATACACAGTCCATTAAAAAATGTGAGAAGCCAGCATCACTACAATATTAGAAGAGTTTCTGGCCCTCTTGAAGTATGTACAATTACAGACCTGTAAGATCCAACCAAATCTGCAGTCAAGTTCAACGAAAATCATATTCATGAAGAAATGGTGGAAGAATAGTTCCTTTGCTGTACTGCAGTGCATGTACTTCCATTCCCTGTAAGAATACAACACAGACTTTTGCATTAGACTTTTGAATGGCTTAGACTTTTGAATGGAAGTTTAAGATATCTTGGATTACCCCCAGCCTACAGGTGCAGAACAACAACTATTTATGGCTTTATGGCATGAAACTACAGTTTTCCACAGAATGTGTAAATGATACTGGCTCTAAAATTGTATTTAATTAACTGACACTGCATTTAAATACTCCTCTAAAATATCTCCCCGCTAGGAATATAACTTATATTGGTTTAGTATTCTAAAGAAAAAGTCCTAAATTATTATTCAGAGGTTTACTCCTTCAAGTGAGACACAAAGTAGTCATATGCAGGGAAAACAATAACATCTAAGGCAATACTGAAAGCCAGAAAGCAAACCATTCTTTAAAGAAGCTTTTAACACCTGTTTCAGCTGTTTCCTGTTATGATGAAATGTCTTCAAATAGAGGCGCAATGGGTGTGAAAGTTATCATAAGAAAGTTCCAGCTCTTGTGCTGTCTGTTTTCTTTCTGTGGTGTCTTTCAAGCCAAACCTCCATCTGCCTGGCTCATAGAATAGCTGAAGGCCAGAACAGCATCCTTGAGTATGTTCTTGGAAAATACTCTTCTCCCTCTAATCTACATAGACTCTCAATTTATAATAATTTAGAATTATTATGTTGGTTTAAACTTTATTCTCATATCACTGACAAACACTAGAAATGAGAGCTCAATTGTTGAGATCAAAGCAATAAATATGTGTGTAATTGCTTCTGAAGACCACAATTATATTCTTTCTAGCCTTAAAGCTAGAAAGCTTTAAAGATGGTACATTGTAGATGAAGACACTGCTTGGAGGGGAAAAGTAAGAATCAGTCTGACTTCACAGTGTCAGGTATAGCAGAGCCAGAAAAGAGACTGGAAGAGGTTCAGATGATCACCACTAAACCCGAGGCTTTTTATCTTTTCTCTTAGGTGGTAGCGGTGTGTATTTGAAATTTTATGAAACCTGCAGAAAGAGATTCCTTGACTTTGCATTGAACCAACCTGGAAATGCATGAGAGCCACCCAGCAGCAGCTTTTTCACATAAACCTGAATGGAATATAACCTGTTAGATGGAAACTGTGAGATATTATAGTAGTTAGGACAAAGCAGAGAGGGATTTGAGGAGCCTATGGGGAATCAGGTGCTAAGAATAAGGAACTGACAGGAGGAAAAGAGGTGAAGGATGCAGCAAGCATGTGGACATGACAGTGATTTGGAGGTGCTGTATGGAAGTTCCCTACGCAGTCCCTTTGGACTGCATGGCGAAAGGGATTTGAATGTCAAGCCAGTTTCCAAAAATTAAACCTTGTATAAATTTTAAGTGGCTCATCTCCCCTGTGTTGATGGAAAATATTGTAGCCTCAGTTCCCACACCAGGATCAGTTTCCATTTGGTATAGGTGGGACATACATGGCAGAGCTGGACCTAAGGCTCCTTTCTGCTCTCCTTGACTTCCCCAGCAGCTGGGACTGAGTGCCCCCCACCAGAAGCTGCACAGCTGCCGTGATCTGTGTGAGTCTGAGTGTTACAGAAGTGCTGCTCTGTTCAATAAACACTTGTGGGAACACCTCAAAAGGACAAAACGTTTAGGGGGCCATGGGATGTCTCAGCAGCACAGAACTGCCAGCAAAGGGCCCTGGCTCTAGTAAATTCCGTGGGGTTTGTGCTTCAGGATTTCTCCTGAGGCCTTTGCTTTTTGCTCAGCACGTCTGTTTGTTTCCACAGGGTCGATAATTTGTCTAAATATTTTAGTGGATTGAAAGAACAAGAAAAGCGGTTTAAAGTTATGGAAGCCCAGGTAAGTAATAGATTTATAGGCATTTATATCAGCTTTAGGATTTCACCATGTTTCTCTCATTTAATGGTCGTTTGGCAGACCCTATTTAGGGATAAAGGGGGGAGAAAGGATCTCTATTACAGTTTCACTTTCCTTATTGTTTTCTCTGTGGTGATAAACATATGTAAAGAAATATTTCTGACCTCTAGTAGAAGGGAGAAAGGGGAATAGAACATTTTTTGCTCTCTGTGCTAGTCTGCTTGACAAATGTTTATTTCCTTCATTAAGGATGCTTCTGGAAGCAAATGCTTCCTCTTCCCCTCTCCGTTCTCTTCCTTCTCCCAACCTTTTATTTAAAACTGTCAACTTTGAAAATACTCATATTCTGTCTGACCTGACCCAGACTTCTGGATCTTTTTGGACATCAGTTTTTATAATTTCCTCAGATACCAGATACCAATGTCTCAAAGTGAAGTATCTAACATAGAAATGTGAAACACAAATAATAGAAGGAAACCCTATCTTGAGCTTTTGATGACAAACCCTTGAAATAAAAACAAACTTTTTTTAAACAGTCTGAAAATGCTCAGCATTACCACGTGCTATGTAGCACAATTGTTATTTTCTTTGTCCCTAGAACTCTCCAGTGTAATTTTGGCTGCACTGAAGTTCCTTATCTTAATACTCTCATTGCAGTTTCCCTCCCCTTTCTTATCCATTTTATGGCTTCCTGAATAAAGTCATGCTATTCAATGAACAATGTTGACACCAAATACAGGTCCAACAGGAACACACAAGAAATGCTTTAATAACTTTGTGCCAGCTTGAGATAATGCAATATACTCACAAAAAAAAGGAAGGTATTTAATACAAATCTTCCTCCAACAGTTCAGCTATATCTCTTAAAAAAAAAAAAAAAGTGATATCTCTGTTTCAGCCTGCTGCTAGATTATCTTTCTTGCAAATTTAACAATGAATAAAGTACTACAAAAATTAGCTGATGCAGAAATCACTACCTATTTTGTAGATTTGCTACTGTACAGCTGTTATCTCCTCAATGGCAGAGGCTTTAACCAAAACCAACCTCTTGTGCAACCAGCCAGCTCCCAACTATACATGTAAGTATTTAAAACAATCATGGAAAAGCTAATTAATACAGCTGAACAATTTTAGTTTTAGTTTAGTTTAAAAAATGCAAGGAAAAAAAAAAAAGATTGGAAAAGAGCCACATAAGGAGATACCTAGAGGTACAAGGAACAGAATATTCATACTTCAGAATGAAAAAATTACCTTTTGCAAAATATATTTAAAAGCTTTGGGGAAAGGACTGTTGCTTAGTGTGAGTTGGAATGATCTCACCCATCTGTAAGCATGTAAATAAGTACCTATTTGCCACAGGGTTTCTTGACAGAATTGTCTTGGGGATTTCCTGAGTTGATGAGACAGCACTCCCAAAGTATTACCAACACATTTAACATGGATAACAATAATCATTAAAAATAAAATTAAAATTGAGCAAGCCTCCTACGTTGTTTTAATTAACACAGCACATTTGCCTTCAGAGCTGCAACTGTTTCTGTCTGTTAAGAATCTTGTCTTGTGTCCCAGGGCTCTACTCTTTGGAGTTTAAAACATTAGAGACAGAAACAGACTATTTCTCAGCCACTGCAGGATGTCCAACACAATAACGTTTTTGGATGTTCTTCTTAATGATCTATTGCAGTATCCACCTGTTACTATCTATTACACAAAAAGTCCCCCAAACCCCGTAAACTGAACATATACAAACTACATGGGGAAAAAGAAGTGGCTGGAAACTCAGCAAGTCGTGACATGACAAAACCTCCAGTCACCCAGAATCAAACTCACCTCAAACTTGACTTAATTCTGTTAGAAGCTTATAAAACACATACATAAATGGCTTCATTATCAACATCCTGTAGCATGATCCCCAGACATTTTAATACTGTAACTGATTAAAAATCAAAATTCAATATCTGAAAAATAAAGCAGCAGCCTGTTTTTATTGTTTACTGAGAAAACTCACATTAGAATCTACACTATCTTTTTACTGTGAATTATTTTCAACATTTTAAAGTTTCTTAAGCAACTACTATTACGTGCCCCTTGTCCTGATACTTTTAAACAAGTACATGGCTTTTCCAATCCTATTAGGTGTGATGAATGTCAACACAGAAGTGCCTTTGCCAGAAAGAAGTGAAAGAGAAGAACGTGCAGATCAGTCCGAGACTGACATCACATACATTGATAATTAAGTTTTATTCTCATTTCTTCAGATTAAACCTTTGGTCCTACTGAAGTACTGTAGAAGTAAAGCCTAATCTTATAAAGGCTTAAGGCCCAGTTCTCAAAGCCTTTACACCAAGCACTGTCAACCTTTGACACCACTGAGGATTTCTTGGTCTTCCTCCTTCCATTTCTTGGGAGTTTCTCCCCTCCTGCTCCTGTATCACTTGCTCCTTTCTCCAAAACCCCATTCTGCAAATCGCGCTAAAAACTTTCTCCTCCAGGATGATTCTACCACCTTATTTTCTAAGTACAATCTGTCTTCTGTTCTCCAGACACCACTCCCTCAACCCGTCATCATTGCTAACTTCCACATTTCTCTGTCCAAGGGCATCTCCCTGTTGAAGGGTGATCACTTACACACTAAACACCAAGGCGCTGCCTTGGCCAAGAAAGCAAGCTCGTATTTCTGAGCTGCTTAGGAAGGAAATCAAGGAAGTTCCCACAGGAAAGGGCCTGAGACACTGAACTATTACAGTCCATACAGCTCCTGGAGCTCCTACAACCCTCAAAGGATCGCACTCACCGTCCTCTCCCCGCACTGGCTCCTGCCAGGTATTCCTTCACCGGCGTTCCCCTGCGAGGCTCCTCTCTCATCCCCAGGGACTGGAGTCTCAGCGCGCCGTGGCTTGCGGTCACTTCCCAAACACGAATCAGGTGCCCCCCTGCAGCCAGGCCCCCCACTGCTGCTCCTCCATTTTTGTTTCAATGCCAGCTGCTCTCAGCTCGCTGCTCTCAGCCTTTGCCTTGATGTATCACCCCGCATGGAACGCTGCATCTATGCCTAAGTGCTTTTCTGATTTCATTTCACTTTTCTCTCTCAAAGGTCAAGAAAAAAAAAATCACTTAGACTTTAAAGCAAGAATGTGTAGCAGGAATTCTCATGCAAACTAGGAATTTGGGCTGTTAGTCATTTTTTTCATTACTTAAAACTTGTATGCACATTTTTAGCATACAAAAGCTAGCTGGCTTTATTAGAATTTTGTATGAAAAGATACACCAATAAAATTAATATTACTACCATTCTTTAAAGGGAAATTTCTTTGGAATAATATAAACAGCAGCCAAAGGGGGAAGTACTGGGTTGTGGTCTTTCTTAAACTGCTAAGCTTCAACTGAACTTAATTTTCTCACGTATATGACGCTGCTTCTGTGCAACATAAATGTAGGTTGTGCAAAAGCTTTGTCTGTTACCAGAGGCTGAAAGAAAAAAAAAAAAATCTCAGTTCTGATAAAAATACCTTTCTGACAGGAGTCTTTTGTTAACAGATATTAATCTTGCTGTGATGTCTTCATAAAATAGGGATTTCTTGGGTTCATTCAGCTGTGCCCCCCCATTAGCAGGGATGGGATTTTGGTACTGCCTGACCTGCTCTTCACCCTGAGCAAGCAGCAGACAGAAAACCAGTGAGTTTGTACAGAGCCATGTTTTTTGTTAGGAAATAATGCATCTCTTACAACCAGCGTGCCCTCCTCTCGGCAGCAGCTACTATTTTAATGGTGATCAGCATACTAATTATCCACTGGAAACCAAAATATCCAAAAAGTTGGAATTGTTGCCATGTACCAGAACTGAGTATTTAGCAATGACCCATTAATTAACGTGCATCAAACTGTACACTCATGAGAAAATACATTCTGCTTTTAAATTTAAAAGGTGAATTTCAAAAGATGGACCAGTATTACTCAATTTACATTGTTTTCTGTTTCTGCTGCCCAATCACACATCTTTTCAAATACAAAAGACCCAAATGATTTGGGCCCACCAGTCAATTACTGGTAAGATGCTGGCACCCCACCCCCCAATCCCAGAGGAAGTAACCTCCTCACCTATCCCTGTTTGAACAAGCAAGGAAGGTCACAAATTCTAAAGAGGGAATCTTTCATTACATGGTTATAAATACTAACATTGGGGTTGCTTAATTTAGAATACTGGCAAAAAAATATCAGTCCAAACTGACCTGAACTAATTAAGAGTTTCAAATCATATAACCGTTCAAAGAATTTAATCTTTTAATGTTATTTATAAAATTTATTAACATCATGTGAAAAACTACTATTATTTGACATTCATTACAATGTGATTTATTGTATAAGGTGATTCATCCCATGAGGCGATTCTCTATATTGTAAAATGATTGAAAATGTTAAAAATGTAAATTTTAGAATCTAAAATATAAGACTTGAGGGAGAAGTTACAAGAAGCTTAGAGTAACATTCTATAAGATTTTCAAGACCATTCTCAAATCAAATAAACTGAGTCTTTGTTAAAACTCCTATAGCTGCATTAATGAGTATCATTCAAAGAGATGAAGAAATTGGAAGCATCAACTTAAAGTTTATTGAATCCCAAAGAACAAAAAAGTATCCAGTTTGGGTATAAATATCTCACTCCCAACAAATCCACACACAGAATCAACGTGGAAGCAGTGCCCCCAGGAAAGGACATACAAACGCACAGGCCAAGAACCATCACATCGCAGCACACCAGCAAGAGGAAAAGCTGCTGCCCCACTTCACCGAAGCTCTTGCCAGTTCTGACCTACACAACAGGGCAGGACTTGGCTGAATCCATCATGAGCGTGTCTTCACCGGGATGTATCCAGAGTTGTACCTCTCCACAGGAAACACTGTGGTTTTTAAAATCTTTATCATGTAATGCTAAATAAGGTAAATATTAAGCTAAGCTTAAAAAAATACTGGGTTTGCTAGTTTCCACCTGGGCCCTCCAAACTCATGACTGGGCACTGTCGTGCCTTCACTCTCAATGGCAATAAGGAAGGATGTATTAAAAAACTTTTTTTTTAAATAAAAGGTTTTGTTCCCTGGGACTGGGTCAGAAGAAATCACATCTAGTGGAATAATAGGTTTTATTTTCATTGTTTAAAAATCTCTACATAATGAGCTCATCATCTTTGTTCCAGGATTCCACAGGATTGGGGAACAGCTCTAAATCTGGGGGTTAGTACGAAGCCTTGAAGCCTTTCAGCTAACACGTATTTTTGTCTGCTTCAGCTCCAGAGCAAGCCCCAGGGAGCTGCTCAGGCAAACAAAGTACACCTCATGCTCTCCTGCATCTATAGGGTGCAACTATCCTGTGCTCGCAGACTTCTCACGAACACTAAGTATATTCTAGGCAGCTTAATTTCCAAACATATAAAATGTTCTTGGTGGCTATGATGCAAACTGTTAGACAAAAAGCTATCCTGTGGTTTCCAGACCAGAAAAAAAAAAAAGCCGGAGAAAAAAACAAACATATCCAAAGACAATACAAGTCCTTAAGTGTCTCCAGTGTGCTCCATCCTTCAGGACTCTTCCTCCTCCCCTTCATCGTCTACTTTAGGTCGGAAATTTTTCCTACTCTTCTTCTTACTGCAATGGAACCCAACTGTTTCCACCAATGGCTCTTCACCTGCACCACAAGGCCTTGCACTACGCTTACCTTCTGCATTCAGGTCCCCTGCCATAATGCACTCCTCCTCCTCTGTTGCCTTTCCACTTCCACTATCTAAGTGCCCCAGCTCTACCTTATCTTCCTCCCTGAAGTCATCAATCTTCTTCAGAGATTTTCCTTTCAGATCTGTTTTCATGTGTTTCTTATCATCCTCCCCTGCTGATGTTTTCTTTTCCAGTCCATCAACACTCCTTTTCACTGGTTTGGTGAAGACAATCCTCCCAGCTCCACAGCTGGAAGGGTCCTGGTTGAAGTATGGGGTGTAGCTTCCTTGGGTACCTGAGCTTTGGTCCTCTCCTCTTTTCTTCAAACCTTCTAGAAATTCCATGGCCACGGCCCTGTTAGTCTTGTCACTAGACTCTGAAACGCCATCGAGGCTGTATTTGGTCCAGCGCTCCGGGTGTGCCACATAGTCAGGCACTGCCCTGGAAGTTTTGGGAGCCTGCACTGGTCTGACTTGCTTTCCCAGGCTTTCTGCAACCATGTTACCGGAAACAGGGGTTGGAGGCAATGGACGCTTGAACCTCCCATCAACAACATTATCTTCAGGCATCGAGGGCACAGACAACTTGGCTGCCTCTTCCAGGCAATCAAAAATGCTCTGGCTACGGAGAGAGAATGTAGAACTCATGCCCCTCAGGTGGAACGGCTGGGCAGGAGATCTGTGACTGCTGTCTGAAGAGTCGGGGGTCTCCCCTGACCTGTAATCCCCATCATCTACTGACGGCTCCTCAGGAGATATCGTATCAACCTCTGCTTCTTCTGCTAACCCCAGATCATCGGAATCAGAATCACTGAGCGACACTGTGTCTGAGGGCAGAGCTCCTTCGTAGTCAGTGGCACCACCGGCCACTATCCCCAGGAAGGGCTCACCTGCATCCTGGTCTCCCATCTTTGAGCTGTCACTCCACTGAGGTCTTGGACATAGGCCCAGGAACAGCTGCAAATACGGTGTTCCCAACACCCAGGCAGTTCAGTGCCTACAACACAGAGGAGCATAAAAATTATCTGTGAAATGAGAACCAAGTAGGAGACCATCATTCTGTGCTGTGCAAAACAATTATTACTATGATACAACAGGCAGCTGTGCTTCAGGGGTTCTTAAGAAATTTTGCTTGAAACAAAAAACATTATTTAAGAAAAGAACACACATTAAAGACTGACACAAGACTCAATACAAGCTTACGAGGTAATTAAAAATTGTATTGCAGACCTAATTTCATTAGAAGTTACAACAGGTCCAGTTACTAAAAGATGAGTATAAAGTTTTTGAGCAAATCTGAATACCCCCTGTCTGTCTTACACATCTTCCAAGAGACAGCAATGACCTCTCCAAATTACACCCTGCATTTATCACAATGTGTAAATCCACAGAAACACCTCCTAATCTCTCATGCTTTCTTGTGGCCATTACAATCCTTTACTGCATTAACCATTGGACCTCCTGTCCCAACAATCAAACGTTCTGCCTATTCTAAATGGCACTATCACTGATCAAGGCATCAGGGCTACAGTTTCAGGATTCTGTTCAAGTGACATGAATTACAAGCTCTGCTCCTTCATTGCTCTCATGTTATTACTAGATTCTGGAATCAGAAAACGAGCCAGCTCAAGAAATCCATCCCACTGGATTACAAAAACTAATCACGCATGCACAGAAACAAGGGGAGGGTGCAGCTGAGGGCCTGCAGGAACTGGCCCTTCAGTCGGTAAAAGGCAGCATGATTGGAAGCCTGACTCCCAGTAGCAGCTGGAATCCCTGAGTCACCCCGGCACCTGCTTGAAGGGACCCTCGCAGAACTGAGGCAGTGGATGATCACACTACTGCTTGCCAGGCAATCAGAAACAGAGTTGGCAAACACGCACCTCCGTTCAGCCTGCAAAAACGTGAATGACAGAAGCAGTTCTAATATATTATTAGAATAAGCTCAACTACCTAATTATAGGTTATTCTGAAATGATGCAGTAAACAGACATGGAAAGTCTGTTAGTCACTCACTTTCTCTTGAGACTGAGTCAGCTTCCCCTCCTGAGGGTCACTTAAAGCCACCAAAGATCTCAGCACTTCCACCCTAGAAAACAAACATTTCCATCAAGATACTGGAAATGTAGTTTTAAAATGAGCTTTAAAAATAATTCCTTCCCCCTGAATCATCCAAAGCTGCAGAACTGAGTTCTAAATCTGACACAGTCCTGTTGGTATAAAAGTCTGCAGATATTCCTGGGTTTTTGGCAAAAGAACAACACACAGCCTAATCAAGCAGGCATCACTGTATTTACTCAGTCTCCACCTTCACATTGCCAATCTTATTCTGTAGAACAGAAGAGAGATTTTAAAAAAATAAACCTGTAATTTGCATATGCAGTAAACCATTACTAAACGAACACTATTAAATGCGGCTAAGAAAATATAAAAATAATAGTTAAGCATTGCAAGTACTAAGTGCTGCTAGAGACTAAGACCGCGGATACCAGCGTTCTGTTTTCAAAGAAAGGTCATATTTACAGTTCAGGCCAAATCTTCATGAGGCACTGACAACCTCCTGAAGAATTCAACACACTGAGTGCTATGTTCCGTGTAAATCTGGCTGTCTTTGATAAAAGGGATCTGATGGCTGCTTTCAAAAACAATGCCCTCAGTGCAAACCCTAAATGGGAAGTAATCATCTGAAAATCATACATTCTTCCATTTAGTTCTATAACACAAGAAAAGTAACGACTACAACCAAAAAGAGACGCTGAAGTGCATAACTAAAACAGCTGTTTTCAGATTACAGTGCGTATTCATCACAGGCTGCAAATCAGACTATCTCTTGTCTGAGGGAAGTTATGCAGAAAGGAAAAATTTTGCTCCTAAGGAGATGTTGACCTTAACAGCATTAGCAGCCAAACCCTTACTGACCCTTGCTGTACACAAGACTCACAGGTTTGTTATGGTGACGTGATCACAGCACAGCTCGGATAGGACGGCGGCTCTCTGGGTGGGCAGGTCCCCGTTGGACTCTTCCATCCTGGTGTCACTCAAACAGACTCTGCGGGTCTTCGTACAGCCTGAGAGGTAGACGGAGACGCCAGTCACCCCGACCCACGGCCACGCGTCCGCTCTCATCGCGGGGGCAACACTGCGGCCTGCCAGTGCTGCCGTGCCGGCCACAACACGCTCCCTCGGGACGGTGCTCACGCAGGCTGCCACGCCACGGGGGAGGGCAAACAGCCCCCGGGCCGCGGCTCACGCCTCCCGTGGACACTCCACCCCGGGGAGGGGGAACCGACAGGCCCACGGCCTTGCCCAGCATCACGGGAGCAGCCCACGGCCTCGGCCGCCCTCCCTCCCGGGCCGGGATCTGGTGGATACAAACACCCACCGCCTCCCCCTGCAGGCCTCTACAGCCCGGGGGCTGCCGCCCTCCTCTACCCCACACCTTTCTCCTCACGACATGGGC